CAAACGAGGACATGCCACCTTAGTACGAGTATTTGTGTTAGTACAAGATGGCTCTCCTAATTACCAAGATCTCTTTATTAGTTATTTAGGTCATGTATTCTTAATTCCTATTATGCTTGTACAATTAAATCTCTGTACATCACAAAAATCTCAGAATATTTGATTAACTGCAATTTTTTTTTTGTAACAAATATTTCACGTTGAAGAGAAAGATGCTGTATTTTATGATGGAGTTCATCTAATGCTTAGCTAAACGTAAATGTGGCCCAAATTACTTCAAGAATCACATGTTTCGCCCTTCGATGAATTGAAAGTTTTACATCAGCTGTTTGTTTATGGTAATGAATTCATAATTGGTTTTATTAAGGCGCATAAACTGTATGTTTGCTTGATTAGCTGAATGTTTTGATTTGGCTGCTCAAAATAGTCTTATAGTTGGTAAAGAGCGTATATGCAAATATTGTTTCTCGACTGTTCTTCCTCTTCATTTATTTTTGCAATCATCTTTACTTTGGATAGCAGAAATGCAAATCTAACGCGTGTAAATGCAGCATTCCGTTCTCCATTGATGACCTTGCCGATACCCTCCTAGTGAAAGAATTTTTGGATGTCAAGCCTGTGATGGAACTTCTTGAGAATCCAGCCTTTCAATTTTTACATGAGTAAGGCTAAGGAACCCTACGAGTACATATCCTTTTTCTTTTGGGGCACAGTAAAGAAACTTCCCTTCGCGGATGCTTGATCGTTGTAAATGCATCAATTATTTCAATTTTTATTTTTTCTTTCAAGTTTCTATAGATAATTTTTCATCTTTTTTGGTATTTGAAAAGTTTCTCAGCACTAGGGGAACGGGAATTCATCCGATAGGTCCATTTTCTCGGTTTTTATTTAGTTCCAAATTTTAGCATTCTTTCTAGGGAATTAGGGGTCAAGGGTGATAGTGATTGGAAGTTAAGAAAATGCTACCCAATCTTGTGTAAAACAATGAAATATTGAAGGATAAAATGTATGTGACAAATATATGGTGGTTGGCTTTGTACAGTCATAATACAGTTTTCCTTGTATTTTGCGACTTATTACCGTGGTTTTTAGTTGTGTTTTTGAAGCTCCGTTGGATCTTCAAGGAAATGATGAATGCACTATAAAAAGTTATTTTTGTGAACTTGGAGTTTGGATTTTGTTTGGTGGTGGTGGTGGTGTTTCAAATTGGGTGGTTGTACTAGTAGATTGCATATCTATTTTGGATTTTGTTTGGCGATGATGGGTCGGTGCAGATAAGATGGTTTGAAAAGGTGGCAGCAGCTATGACACCAGAGGTAGTGGCGCATGTGTTAAAAAGTTGCAATGTAAAAAAATTAGGACAATTCTACAAAAACAGGGCCAAAAAACAGGGATTTGGATACAGATACACTTGGCAACAAGGCATTGGAGGATGGGATAATTTAACACAAAAACCGCCGAGTCAGGAGCTGCCAAGTGTATCTGTTTTTTATCCGTCTGAAATTCCTGTTTGAGTGGCTTTATCCAAAAAATTATGCACTTGATGACAATAATACAATAATATATTAACAAGATAAAGCACTTGTTTGACCTCCATTATTTATAAAATATATTTTCGCTCATTTTTTTTTCCAAATACACATTCTTCAATAAAATAAGATTGGGTTAATTTTACAAATGGTCATTGAAGTTACTTAAAAATCACAAAACGGTCACTGAAGTTTAAAACTTGCAGAAACGGTTATTGAAGTTTCATGAGTTTTTCACAAAAGGTCACTGAAGTTTTAATTTCTTTCACAAATGGTCACTGAATGACAGTTATGATTTAAATTCAAACTTAAATGATCAAAACACATGAACATAGAACAGTAAGAACCTCAAGTGCAAATATCATCTAAAATCCAAAATCATTCCCTTCTCAACCCACCATCTTTGGACAACTATAATTCCAATCTTCGGCCACCTTGACCGTTGAAACAATATACTACCTTGAAGCCCTCGCTATTCTCTACCCAACCCACCCAAGAATCGACCCTAACTCCATCGGATTTCATCGGAATTTTGTCCCAAAGTCGGCAGCTCGCACAGGATAGCATTGCCGGCTGTCACTTTGGGATGAAATTTCACCACTTTTCGACCACCAAAATCACAGACCAACACACCACCTTGAAGCCCTTGCCGTGCTCTACGCAACCCACCCAAGAATCACCCCTAACTCAGTCAGATTTGGCTGGAATTTTGTCCCAAAGTCGGCGGCTCGCACAAGACAGCACTACCAGCCGCCACTTTGGGACGAAATTTCACCACTTTTCGGCCACCAAAACCACATGACTAACACACCACCTTGAAGCCCTCACCGTGCTTTACGCAACCCACCTAAGAATCGCCCCTAACTCCGTCGGATTTGGCCGGACTTTCGTCCCAAAGTCGGAGGCTCGCACAGGACAGCATTGCTAATCGCCACTTTGAGACGAAATTCAGGCCAAATCCCACTGATTTAGGGGTTATTCTTGGGCGGGTTACGTAGAGGACAGAGAGGGCTTCAAGGTGATGTGTTTTTTCGGTGGTTTTGGTGGCCAAAAAAAGGTGAAATTTCGTCCTTAAGTTGCGGCTGGCAGTGCTGTCCTGTGTGAGCCTTCGACTTTTGGACGAAAGTCTGACCAAATCCATGGAGTTAGGGGCGATTCTTAGGTGAGTTGCGTAGAGCACGGTGAGGGATTCAAGGTGGTGTGTTGGTCTGGTTGTTGTCGACTTTGGGACGAAATTCCGGCCAAATCCGATGGAGTTAGGGTCGATTCTTAGGTGGGTTGCGTAGAGGGTAGCGAGGGCTTCAAGGTGGTATATTGTTTCATCGGCCAAGGTGGCCGGAGGTTGGAGTTATAGTTGTCGAAAGGTGGTGGGTTGAGAAATGAATGGTTTTTAGATAAAATTTGCACTTGAGGTATTGGCTTTCCTTTTGGCCCTTGTACTTTTTTTTTTTTTTTTTTTT